AGTAATAATATATATAGAGAGATAGATTATATATATATACACACACACGCACATATAAAACAATAATAATATTTAATATATAAATATATAAGTACACTTTTCTATGGATACAATATATCACAATCAATAATACATTACCTCACATATAGCTGAAAAGAAGATTTACCAACCCACTTTTGTTAAATGGAAAATGAACATCCAGTTCAAAAATGTAAAAGATTCAAAGATTCACCCTTTGTAATCCTCAAAAGAGAGAAAGTCAGTGTTGAGGAGGCATGAGACTGAGCAAATTATGACAACTATAATTTTGGGGGGTACTTTAAATAAATGTAGTGCTGTACTGAACTCTTGACTTTTACAAAGCATTTTAAAAGATATGGCAGATATGACAAATACCTAACAGGCTCAATGATTTCTCATCTCCAGTTCTGATGATCCCAGTGTTGTGTCAGGATGAAGAGGGTGTAATTACAGTATGCCAAGAGGAAGATAACGACCTCAGAGTGGACTGCCTTCTGGAGCCCAGACACAACTACCACACAGACTATGAGTTCTCCATGTCTAAAGGCCAGAAGGAGATCATCATAAACACCAACATCTCTGGAATCATGCCTGAACCCAAGTTCAGGCACAACACGTTTGTGACAGAGCTTGAGCCATATGGATTCAGGCTGACCATTATGAGCTTCACCGTCACTGAGAATACAACGTTCATCTGTAAAGTAACCAAGATCCAGAAGACTCTGTCTGTTGAACTAGGTAAAGCAGCTGTATTGTGGCACTATGTAAAACGAAATGAATACTTTCTCTGCCTAAACCTGAACTTGTCTTTGCCTTTCAGACAGCATCGAGCCCTGCTCTGCCATCAGTGTGTTTCTGCTGGGTTATCCTTGGCTCAATCTTCTGGTTCCTCTGTGCATCTTACAGCTATGGGAAGCCTTTTAAAAATAGTCAGCTATGCCATCATATTTGCAGAGTATAAATAGAGTATTTCTGTAGATTTCTCAGCATATTTGAGTATTTTTAGAAATGCTTTTCGATCTACATGCTCTGCCTTTACTGTAAAGTAAGTAGGCTACCGGTTGCTGCCTCTATGAAGGTATTTGTTTACTTTATGCTTTATTACTTGTCTAGCCAAAGCACAAATGAAGACATGTTGTGTGTGCAATAAGTTAAAGGATTTTTAAGATTCTTGACTGCTATTAAAATTGTTGATGAAGTTGTGTCGAGCAATTGTACTGCAACAGTGCCATAATGCTTTCAATGAAATGCACCATTAACATCTTGGGTCATTAGTGTGTAGATAAATAAATAAATCCCATAATTTATTGGCTTAATTATGGTTTTCCCAGCACTTTGAACATAATTATAAACTCATTTTTCCCTCACAGTTCACTTGTTTAATTTTGCACAGTTGCACACTGTTTAATGTTTGTGTGAAAGAAAAAATATTTTAATGGTATAAGATATCATTTTAATTTGATCAGTAGTTTGTTTTGAAAATGCTATTGCCATCTTAGAAAATGTATCTTTAATAAAATCTGTCACTGGTGTTATAGCTCTTGCTTCATTTGTGAAATAAAATAAACCAATAAAATAAAAAATAAATAAAAGTTGTCCTTTTTGATTACTAAAAATGTCAAGATGATAATAAATCCCATCAGCTAGGTTATTGGAGATAAGTGAATGAGCTCAAGACTTCAACACATTTTTGAGCAAAATCCTTAACTTCTCTTCTCTTTAAACTCAATGAATTGTGGTTGGTCACTTTGCATGTCAACAAGATGGCCTTTTCCAGGTGGTTCCTGTCCATAAAAAGCTGCAAAAAGGTCCAGGCATTCAGTCAAAAGTTAAAAGTCAAAGTCAAAGGTCTGGCTATACTTTATAAAAGAAATGGCCAATGTAACCCCTGTTAGGCAATTTAAGCAGAGGGATTAACTCACAGAGGGAATAAGCAATAACTCACTAGGGCTTAAATGATTATTGCAGGTACACTGTAAGTCAATCAGAATCTAATCAGAAGGCGCAAGAATTCGTAAGAGGCAAGGCACACACACACACATATGATGTTAATGCGCTTATTTATATAGGGTAGAATGATTTTCAGGGGAAATTGACAGGATACGTGGTTGAATATGTCGATGACACTACATAAAAGGCAAAAAAACAAGTAAATAAACCAAAAGAAATGCAGACTGAAATAAATGTATCAATCAGCTTTAAAATCTGACTTCCAACCAAATAAAATAACCAAGATGAATTGAAATTAAAACCTTAACAGGAAATTATTTCCTCCAAAATAAATTAAATTGTACTCAAATGTTCTATTGCAGGTTTTATACCCTCTTTCTCTTTTTCTTATATACACAACTCAAATATATACTCAAGATCAGCAAATATAAAGTAATAAACCCAAATGTCAGTACTTATATGGAGTCAAACATACAAATTCCCACTGTAAACACTTATTTGTACAAAATAAAACTGCATGAATGCATATCAATGTAGTATCGTAACTCTTAGAATGCACAGTTCAAAAGAAAATGTCAGTCTAAATAATAACGAATGGTATTCTCCGTCCTCAGTTCCTTATAATCAGTGATCCAGTGCTCGAAAAGAAAATATTAGATACTCCAAACCTTCAAGAATCCAATGAAATATTTTGTTGGAGGCTTAGTGATACAGATGTCCATGGAGACAAAAGATAGATGTTTCTGGTCGATTTACGGTTGGCTCGCCATCTTCACACGGTGCACAACTGAAGTGTTGATATCAGTGCAGTCCACAAATTGAAGGATCCAGATTCTAGATTCTAAGATAACAAAACTGGCCTGTGCACACACACAGAATGAAATCCTCAATCAATCCACACTTCACATACATTTCACTCAACATATACACATCTTTACCGCTCTGTACATATTTTTCTTATGACAATGTATACATTCACTGAACATTTTTCCCTTCCAAACACATCAATACACCATTGAATCACTATATTCCAACATGCATACTAAATAGACATTTTTTAACTCACCGATTCCCTTGTGTATTAATGATATTTCTTGTTTTTTTCAGGTTTCCGATGACGCAACGATGGCCTACTGGATTTCAGCGCGACGACGGTCACACGGATCAACAGGATATAAGTAAGTTCTTTCAAACTACTCAAACTTATTTATCAACAAAATATCTGCAAAATAACTTACAGTTTGTTCTTAGCAGGCGTACTTCAATAAAATCTAATAAATCAAGATTTCACGCAGCTTCTAAGGCGCACATCTCTTCTCGCGTTTTCTCTCCCGTGCAGCTTCCCTAAGGGCGGAGTCAGCTTGACCTAATTACACTCGATTGGCTGCTCACCTGCGCAGCACAGACCTAGAGCTCAAAATAAAATTTAAGTTTTACATGTGATTATTTACTTCCCATCTTACATTGTAAGTAATCCATGTCTAATGGGAAATATATATACATTTAATCTTTTATCCTATAATTTCCTTTTACATTACTTAGTTATTTAGCTTAACTGTATTCATAATTGACTCAGACTACAAATGTCTTTGAGCCTGGGTTACACCCTCCCCCCTTAGAACCATGCAAGCCCCTTTGCATGTTGCCAGTGGCTGCATACTCTTGTGATGCAGGACAACTCATATGGGAACGATCTTGCAGGGACTCTGAAAAGGCTTCATTCAGGCCCTGAAGAAGGGACTGAACTATGGTTATCAAAGGGTTTCCCAATTTCGGGTAAGTCAAGATTTTGGGTTTCTCTTTTGTCCGAACAGACCTCCTTAACTCATTTCTTGGATGTATGAATTCGATGGCTTCTTCGTCGATTTCCATATGTTCTACATCATTTAATTCCTCTCCAGCCGAAATGGACCCTGGCACGGAAGATTCCACATTCAAACTTGGGTTTTGCGCTATCAAGGTAGTTGAATGGGTTAAGTCAGCCAATTCTTCTCTTTCAGATTGGACTCCAGGATTCCAAGGCAAGTTTCCTTCAGGATTTACAGGTAAGTTCTCCTCAGGGTTTACAGGTAAGTTCTCAATAACCTGTAATTCAGGCATTTCATTCGCTAAGCCTGTTCCCAAGGATTGGGCAATGTCCTCCTTCCCAGGTTGTGTCACTTTGGAAGTATGAACAGTGAGCGGCTCGCCTACGACTTCAAATTGGGGTCCTGAATAATAACCTTCCTCTTCTGAATCGGGAGTATCTTCTTCAGGACTTTCACAAATCGCTTTACTGCACGTTTTGAGCCTGGGAACCAAACTTTGTGTCTTGAGTTCACTCACATCAGAGGAAAGAGTTCCACAGGGAAGCAACAAGTCACGGTGTAGCGTTCGAGTAGGCCCTGTTTGAAACTCAGGACATACTTTGTACACAGGTAAATCGCCATAACGGTCTACCACCACATACACTGTTTCCTCCCATTTGTCAGCAAGTTTATTCTTTCCTCTCGGTCTAACACTTCTCACAAGAACTCTGTCACCTTTGTCCAATTCAGATGCTGTCACATGTTTGTCGTAACGAGTCTTATTTTTCTCAGCCATCCTTTTGGAGTTCTCAACTGCAATCCGGAAACTCTCCTCAAGGCTTGACTTTAGGTTCTTTACATACTGAGAGTGTGTCACATCTGCCTTATCTCTGAGAGGTAATCCAAATGCTAGATCTACTGGCAGCCTGGGTTGTCGCCCGAACATTAACTTGTAAGGGCTAAACCCGGTGGTTTCATTTCTGGTGCAGTTATATGCGTGTACGAGTGGCTTCACGTACTCCTTCCAGCAGCTTTTCTTCTTGGCCTCCAGGGTTCCAAGCATATTTAACAAAGTTCTATTGAACCTTTCAACGGGATTGCCCCTCGGATGGTATGGGGTTGTTCTGACTTTCCGCACCCCAGCAATATCACACAATTCTTTGATCAAGTGTGATTCAAAATCAGGGCCTTGATCACTGTGAAGGCGTTCGGGATAGCCATAATGACATATGAACTGCTCCCACAGACACTTCGCAACAGTCTTGGCTTTCTGATTTGGGGTCGGAACAGCAAGGGCGTACTTAGTAAAGTGATCAGTTATTACCAACACATCCTTAGTGTTACTGTGGTCCGGCTCGAGGGTAAGAAAATCCATGCATACCAATTGTAAAGGGCGGTTGGTTGTAATGTTCACGAGTGGTGCAGCTTTTTCGGGTAGAACCTTTCTCCGTATACATCGACCACATGTTCTTATCATATGCTCTATGTCTGAAGCCATTTTGGGCCAATAGAATCGATTCCGCACCAAATCCAAAGTACGGTCGATACCCATATGACCAAGGTCATCGTGCAGATGTTTAAGCACATCAGAACGGTATTCTTCGGGTAAAACCAATTGATACATGACCTTATCAGCCACACTCCTCCTTCGATAGAGGACTCCATCGTGGAACTCCAATCGTTCCCGTTCCCTAAGAAGGTAAGGTAGCCTAGGAAGAGCATCACGGACAGTTCTTGAAGGGGTCTCTCCGGTCTGGATTTGGGTAATGACTTCTCTAATACAGGGATCGGCCAGTTGTGTTCTCTGGATTTCTGAAGGAGATAGATGGGGGATAGTTGGTAGTCCTCCACACTGATCTTCTTGCAAATAAACATCGGGTACTGCAGCTGTCTGCATTTTCAGGGAACTGATAAAAGCAGCAGGTAAGTCATGTGAATACTCAGACCATTGAGTAAGACAACTGTCGCAACTGGCTTTTACTACCTCACTACTGATCTCTTGCTTTTCAGCTTCTGCAGTGAGCCGTTCAGCAAAGGTAAGTATTTGGTTTTCCTCAATGTGAGAAGTATCATCTATAGTGAGTTCTGAATGAGGTCGCGGAGACAACCCGTCGGCATCAACATTCTGTTTCCTACAACTGTACTGGAGTTTGAAATCGTAAGTAGAAAGCGCTGCTAACCACCTATACTCTCGGTCTAACACTTCTCACAAGAACTCTGTCACCTTTGTCCAATTCAGATGCTGTCACATGTTTGTCGTAACGAGTCTTATTTTTCTCAGCCATCCTTTTGGAGTTCTCAACTGCAATCCGGAAACTCTCCTCAAGGCTTGACTTTAGGTTCTTTACATACTGAGAGTGTGTCACATCTGCCTTATCTCTGAGAGGTAATCCAAATGCTAGATCTACTGGCAGCCTGGGTTGTCGCCCGAACATTAACTTGTAAGGGCTAAACCCGGTGGTTTCATTTCTGGTGCAGTTATATGCGTGTACGAGTGGCTTCACGTACTCCTTCCAGCAGCTTTTCTTCTTGGCCTCCAGGGTTCCAAGCATATTTAACAAAGTTCTATTGAACCTTTCAACGGGATTGCCCCTCGGATGGTATGGGGTTGTTCTGACTTTCCGCACCCCAGCAATATCACACAATTCTTTGATCAAGTG